GGAGGTGCGTGAGGGGAATTTGGGCGGGGGGCATCGAATTGAGGGGGGGTCCTGTGGGGAGGCATCGCCTGAGGGAGGGGAGGCACCCTCGTGAGGAAAATTGGGGTGGGGGTTCCCGATTCAGGGGGGCTCTGGGGGGGTGGTCGCCCTCAGGGAAGGAGGAACCCCCAGCTGAGGGGGATTTGGGTGGGGGTCACCCCCCAGCAGCAAGGGGCTCAGAGCTGGGGGGGTCAGAAGTTGATTTTTGGGGTGAGAAGTTGGTTTTTGGGGTCCAAAACTGGTTCAAGGGGTCAGGAAGTTGGGGTTGGGGTCAATAAATTGGGGTTTGGGGTCTCTAACTTGGGGTTGGGTGAGTCGAGCGCTGATCAATAACCAATAATTGATCAATATTCCCTAGAAAGGGTACGCTACTTCAATCACCTGATGGTGGGGTCAGTCCTGGGTTCTATAACCAGGACTTTGGCTACCAATCAGTAACCGATCAATACCCAATAACCGATCAATAACCAATACTGGATCAATAAACCCTCAGGCCGCGTGTACTACTTCAATCACCTGGTGAACACGAGTCAGTGGGGTCAATATTGTGGCCTGTGAGAGGGGTTTTGGAGCCAATAACCAGGATTTTTGATCCGGATCGGTAACCGATCGCCGATCAATAACCGATACCGGATCAATAACCCCGCAGGACACATGTACTACTTCAACCACCTGGTGAATGCCAGTCAGTGGGGTCAATATTGGGGCCTGTGAGAGGGGTTTTGGTGCCAATAACCAGGATTTGTGATATCGATCAGTAACTGATTCATACCCAATAACCAATAAGTGATCAATACCGGATCAATAACCCCCCAGGCCGCGTGTACTACTTCAACCACCTGGTGAATGCCAGTCAGTGGGGTCAATATTGGGGCCTGTGAGAGGGGTTTTGGTGCCAATAACCAGGATTTTTGATCCGGATCGGTAACCGATCGCCGATCAATAACCGATACCGGATCAATAACCCCCCAGGCCGCGTGTACTACTTCAACCACCTGACGAACGCCAGCCAGTGGGAGCGGCCGAGCGGCGCGGCGCGGGCGGAGCCGGGCCGCGTGCGCTGCTCGCACCTGCTGGTCAAGCACAGCCAGTCGCGCCGGCCCAGCAGCTGGAGGCAGGAGCGCATCACCCGCTCCAAGGAGGAGGCGCTGGAGCTCATCAACGGCGAGTGCCGGCAACGCCGGGGGATTCCCGGGAATGCTGGGGGGGCTGGGAATGCCGGGGGATTCCCGGGAATGCTGGGGGGGCTGGGAATGCCGGGGGATTCCCGGGAATGCTGGGGGGGGCTCGGAATGCCTTGGGAATCTGGGAATGAGGATGTTTCGGGACTCTCTCTCCCTTCCCATGGAATTCGCAGCATCCAGGGAATTTTGGGAGTGGTTTTGATCCCTAAATTTGGTGGGTTTTCCCATTTTTTTTTTTTTTTTCCAGGCTACATCCAGAAGATCAAATCAGGAGAGGAGGATTTTGAGTCTTTGGCTTCGCAGTTCAGTGACTGCAGCTCAGCCAAGGCCGGAGGGGACCTGGGGGCGTTTGGGAGAGGTGAGGGATTCATCCCAAAAAAACCCCCAATCCCTCAGTTCTGGGGGATTCATCCCAAAAAACCCCCCAATCCCTCAATTCCAGGGGATTCATCCCAAAAAACCCCAAATCCATTGGTTTTCAGGGATTTATCCTCCCTAAAAAATCCACATCCTCCATAATTCCAACTGTGATCCATCCACTGGAAGAAACTTCTGGAATCCACTCCCCCCCTTCAAATCCCAGATTTTCCTTTGGGAAACGCCCCAAATCCCAAATTTTTCACGGAATTTTGGGTGGTACTACCTCTTTTTTTAGGATCCAAACCTCCCTAAATGTTTTTGGGTTTTTTTTCCCTTTACGACACAAAATCCCACCTGGGATCGATCCAGCGGAACAAACTACCGGAATCAATCCCCGCCCCACTTCAAATCCCAGAGTCCTCTGCGGGAAACGCCCCCAGATCCCGAATTTTTTTTTTTTTTTTAATTTTTCCTGTGGAATTTTGGGTTGCAGGGCAGATGCAGAAGCCGTTCGAGGACGCCTCGTTCGCGCTGAGGGCCGGCGAGATGAGCGGCCCCGTGTTCACCGAGTCCGGCATCCACATCATCCTCCGCACGGAGTGAAGTGCCTTGGCAGGGCGGGAATTCCCGGGAATTCCGTGGGGAATCCGGGTGGGAATTCGTGGGGAATCCCCGGGGAGTCTGTGGGGATCTGTGGGAGTCCTCAGGAACCCACGGGAATTCACGGGGATCCTGGGGAATTCATGGAGATCCGCTGATATCCGTAGAAGTCTGTTAACTCCACGGGAAGCCATGGGAATTCTCAGGAATCCGCAGGGATCCACAGGAAATCCATGGGAATCCGCGGGAATCCTCAGGAAATCCACGGGAATCTATGGAAATCCATGGAGGTTCACCGGAATTCATGGAAGTCCATGGAAATCTATGGGAGTCTATGGAAATCCTCAGGGATTCATGGGAATTCATGGAAATCTGCGGGGGTCCGTGGGAAGCCTGGGGAATTCATGGAAATCCATTGGAATCCATAGAAGCCTATTAACTCCACGGGAAGCCATGGGAATTCTACGGAATCCGCGGGAATCCTCAGGAAATCCATGGGAATCCATGGAAATCCACAGGAATTCATGGGAGTCCATGGAAATCTATGGGAGTCTATGGAAGTCCTCAGGAATTCATGGGAATTCACGGAAATCCTCAGGAATGGATGGGAATCTATGGAAATCCTCAGGAATCTGTGGGAATTTATGGAGGTCCATGGGAATCCTCAGGAATCCGCAGGGAAACCGTGGGAATCCGCGGGAACCCATGGAATCCGCGGGAACCCCGCCCCGCGCTCCCCGCCACGAACTCCAGACCCCAAAACTCCTCCGCGATTCCGCCTCCTCCTCCTGGGCGGGAGCAAAAACGGGGAATTCCCGGGGATTTTGGGAATGCTCCCAGCGGTCCCGGCTCCGGGAACGCAGCGCCCGCGGTGGTGGTGGTGACGATGGCGACGGTGACAATGGCCAACAGTGACAGTGACAACAGTGATGATGACAACAGTGACGATGACAGTGACCGACAGTGGTGACGATGACGATGACCAATGAAGGTGACCATGACCAACGATGGTGATGATGATGATGGCCACCAGTGGTGACAATGACCAACGATGGTGATGATGATGATGGCCACCAGTGGTGACAATGACCAACGATGGTGATGACGACGATGACGGTTACCATGGTGACAGTGCCAATGACCAGTCATGGCAATGGCCAGCAATGGTGACAGTGATGATGATGATGATGACAGTGACGATGACGATGAAGATGATGACACCGATGACGATGACGCCGCCATCACCAAAGGTTCCGCAGCCCCTGGCCAGGCCCCTCCCCCACCCTGCATGTTTATTTAACTCATTCCCGCTCTTTTCTCCCCAAAATACGCCCCAGATCCGAAGGCTCCGCTTGACCCAAGTCATTAATTAATTAATTACTCGTTAATTAATAGCAGACACGAGGCAGCTCCCGTGGTGTCCCTTCACAGTGTCCGTCCGGATTATCCCGGGAATTTCCTGGCACCATCGCTTGGACTTCCAAACAACAACCGCCGGATTTTTGGGGTGAATTCACAGGAAATTGGGAAAAAATGACCGGAATTCCGTTCTCCTGCCCTTCTGGGGCCACGGGTTTTCAGTTGGGGGTGAAAAAAAGTTGGATTTGGGGAGGTTTTTTCCCAAGATTTTTCGGTTCTGTAGTTTTTGCTTCGTTCGGTGGGAGAAAAACGGGAAAAATCCCAAAAATCCCAGCTTGGATCCGTGCAAAATTCCCAAAAAAAGCTGTAAAGCCCTGGCTCCTTTCCTGCAGAAATAAATCCCCCTCCAGTGGAATTTCTGGCAATTCTGTGTCTTTTTTTAAAAAATAAATTGCAAAAAGGGAAAAATCCAGTTTGGTGGGGTTTTTTTGTTTTCTTTTTTTCTTTTTTTAAAATTTTTTCTTTGGTTGGATTTAAAATGGAGGGGAAAAGGGCTAAAATTTGGAATTTGGGGATTTATTTAATAGGAAAGGGGATTTATTAGTAGGACAGAAGTGGATTTGTTAATAGGAAATAATTTGATTTATTCAGTGGGGAATATGGGATTTATTCAATGGGGAATATGGGATTTATTAATAGGAAATGCAGGATTAGGGGAAATATGGGATCTAATGGGAAATATGAGATTTATTAATAGGGAACATGGGATTTAATTAATAGGGAAAGGATTTAATTAATGGGAAATATGGGATTTAGGGGGTGGTTCCAGGGTGCAATGGGGACAACAAGATCGCCCCCAAACTCCTCCAAATCCCCCTAAAATCCCCCAAATCCTTCTCAAACTCCCCCCAAATCCCCCCAAAAAAACCCAAACCCCTCAAATCCCAAAATCCCCTTGCCAAAAAAACCCAAACACCCTCCAAATTCCTCCCAAAATCCTCCCAAACCCCCAAATCCTCCAGATCAAAGCGATTTGGGGGGAATCTGGGGGGATTTGGGATTTTTGGGGAGGGTGATTTTAGATTGGGGGGGCGTAGGGCAGAATTTGGGGGGATTTGGGTTTTTTAGGGGGATTTGGGTTTTTTGGGGAGGGGCTTTTGGGGTTTGGGATTTTGGGGAAGGGGGATTTCAGGTCGGTGGGGCGTGGAGCAGAATTTGGGTTTTTTTTGAGGGGATTTCAGGGAGTTTTGGGGGATTTAGGGGGGATTTGCTGAATTTGGGGGCGATCTCGGAGAATTTTGGGGGATTTGGAGAGACGGGAATGAAGGGAAAAAAAAAAAAAAAAAAAAAAAAAAAGAAAAAAAGAAAAAAAGCCAAAACCGCGCGGATTTGGGGCATTTTGGGGGTCCTGGTGGATTTTGGGGTCCCCTAAATTTGGGATATTGGGGGGGTTCCCACCCAAAACCCGCCCCAAAGCTGCCCCGGTGCCGCCCCGGTGCCGGTGCCGGTCCCGCCCCGTTTCGGGGCCGTTCGGGGCTGGCCCCGGGCCAGCGGCAGCGACGTCACCCCCGGGGCGGGGGCGGCTCCGAGCGGGCCCGGTACCGGCACCGGCACCGGCGACACGCCCGGGGGGACCTTCGGGGGCTCCCGGTGCCACCCCGGGACCGCTTTCGAACCGCGGGGGCGGCTCCGATCGGGCCGGTACCGGGTCCCGGTGCCACCCCCGGGAGGGATCGAGGGTGCGAGCCCCGGTTCCCGGTGCCGGTCCCGGTTGCCGGTGCCGCGTTCTTAAGGCGGGTGGGGTTCTGCTCGACCCGGTGCCGGTTCCCGGTACCACCCCCGGGGGGAGGTGACGGTGCCACCCCCGGTTGCCGGTGCCACCTTTATACGGGGGGGGGGGGGGCTCCGATCGAACCGGTCCCGGTCCCGATTCCCGGTACCGTGTGGGGGGGGCTCTCCTCGAGCCGCTGCCGGCTCCCGGTGCCACCGGGGGGGGTGATGGGCACGGGGCGCTGCCGGTGGCGGCGGCGGCGGTGGCGACAATGACGGTGCCGCTGCTGAAGATCGGGGCCGTGCTCAGCACCATGGCCATGGTCACCAACTGGATGTCCCAGACCCTCCCGTCGCTCGTGGGGCTCAACGGCACCGCCGTGTCCCGGGCCGGGACATCCGAGAAAATCGTGAGTGACCCCCCCGGTACTGGCGGAGCAATCCCCGAACCGGGAGGGGTCTTTCTTTAATTTTAATTTTAATTTTTTAATTTTTTTTTTTTTTTTTTGTGGGGGCTTTTTGGTTCAAAATTCCGCTGGAACCCCCCCCTGGAATTCCCACCGGGAATTTTGCGATTCTCTCCCTCCCCCCAGATTTTTGGGATCATCCCAGGACCTCCCCCGCAATTTTTTGGGGGGGTCCCCGGTCCCTTTTTTCCCCTGGAAAATCCAATTTTTGGGGGAATTTTGGGACTGCGGCAGTTGCGGGGAAGGAACAATTCCCAAAATTCCCCCCCCCCCAAAAAACTGGAACGGGGATGGTTTTTGGGGTTAAAAATCTGTTTTTTAGAGATTTTCTTGGAACCGGGGAGGGGGGGCCAAAAATTTGGGAGCGGAGCTTTGGATATTGCCGGGAATTTTGGGAAGGGGAGGAAAATTTAGGATCAATTTGGATAAACACCCCGAAAAATCCCGATTGGAACTGGGGGGGGGGAGGCCTGGAAAAGGGGGGGGAATTTTGGAGGGTTTTGGGGATTTAAAAAAATTATTTTATTTAGTTTTTTGGGGGTTTTTTTATGATTTTTTTTTTAATTTTGTGATCGCATTCCCAGCTCCTCCTCCCCCCCCCCAGCTGTCAATCAACGCCGCGGGGTAATTAGCGGCCGCCGGACGTTAATTAGCGCCTCATTAACCACCCTTGTCCCTCATTAATCACCAGGAAGCGGCCCCTAGAATTAAAACCAGAAACGGGCCGAATTCATCCCAAAAATCCCGGGATTTTTTTTTTCTTTTCTTTTTTTTTTTTTTTAATTTTCTTTCTTTGATGTTTTTCCCCCGGAATTTTGGAGTTTTCTGGGGAAAACCTGATGTAAAAAAAAAAAAAACCAAAAAAAAAAACCAAACAAACAAAAAAAAAATCCCGATTTTTTCCTCCTCTTCCCAAAGGGATGGGATGGAATTTCCCAGCTCTGCCCTGGGGATTTGGCTTTGGGGGATAAAAATTGGGATTTGGGAGGAAAAATTTGGATTCTCACACCAGCCCAGAAAAATGGGATCAGGGATGGGAAAGAACTCCCACTTTTTTTTTTTTTTTATTCCTGGATTTTGGGGTTTCTTGGATGAGGGGGAATCCCTGGATTTTGGGGTCCCTCATTCCTGAGTGTTTGGGACACAATCCCTGAATTTGGGGTCCCTTCCCTTGGAAATTCCCCCTTTTCCCCCAAAGATCCCAAATTCCTCTCCCCAGTTTCCTTCTCATTCCAAATTCCCCCTTTCCCCCCCAAATCCCAGATCCCAAGTCCTGCCTCCATCCCTTATAAATTCCCCCTTTCTCCCCCTTTTTCCCCCCTAAATCCCAAATCCCTGGGAAATTCCCCCTTTTCCCCCAAAATCCTGAATTCCGCCTCCATCCCTGGAAAATTCTCCCTTTTCCCCCTCTTTTCCCCCCAAAATCCCAAAAATCCCAAACCCCTCCTAGCTCTTCCCCGCCACCGGCCAGGCCGCTGCCATTAATTATTCATTAACGCTCCCTCATTAATTATTCATTAACGTTCCCTAATTAAGGATTCATGACGGCTCCAGCGGGTGGGGGAGGGCCTGCGGCTGCTCCCTGTTTTTTCCTGGGAATTTTTTTTATTCCCGGTTTTTCCTTTTTGGGTGGAAAAACGGCGATTTTGGGGCTGGCGCGATGTGGGGTAATTCCCGAGGTTTATCCCTTTTTAAAATCTTTTATTTCCCCCGAATTTTTGGGGGGATCCTGGAGGGATTTTCCTCCCTTTTTTTTTTTTTTTTTTTTTCCTGTGCAGCGTGACGTCAGCACGGTTGTGTCGTCATCTGCCGGCGAATGGGAGAAAAAACGGGAAAAAATAAGGAAAAATGGGAGAAAAAGAGGGGGAAAAACCAGGGGAAAGCGGGGGAGCAGTGGGGGGGGGAAGAGACAAAAATGGGAATAAACTGAATTTTGGATCGGGATTCTCTGGGACCTGGGAATTTCCAGATCATCCTGGGTTTTTTTGGGACTTCTGAGATCCCGACCCCAATTTTCCAGACCCTTTTCCAGAGCCCGGACGAGGGCTGGCAGGTTTTCACCTCGGCGCAGGCTCCAGACGGGAAATGTCTCTGCACCGCCGTGATTCCCGTGCAGGGATCCTGCTCCCGGGATCTCCGCAGCCTCCAGCTCCGCCAGCTCCTGGAAAAGGTCGGGAATTCCCAAATGATCCAGAACGAATTGTTAATTACTTAATTAATTGACGGGGATGGGTTAATTGTTGTGGAATTTGTTAATGGTTTAATTTGTGTGGGTAATGAAGGGGGTAATTGGTGTTGGGAATGGGGGGATTTGGGATTGGGGTGAATATCCATGTGGGATTCCAGGGATGAGGATCCTTATGGAGATTCCCATTAATGACTGTGATTAACCCCATTAATGACCAGGATTAACCCCATTAATAACCAAGATGAACTCCATTAATCATTGTGATTAACCCCATTAATGACCAGGATGAACCCCATTAATTATCATGATTAACCCCATTAATTACCGTGATTAACCCCATTAATTACTGCGATTAACACCGTTAATGACCCCTCCAGGTGCAGAACATCTCCCAGTCCATGGAAGTCCTGGATCTCCGCACCTTCCGGGACCTGCAGTACGTGCGGAACACGGAGGCGCTGATGAAGGGCCTGGACTCGCGGCTCCGTGTGGCCTCTGAGGGCCACAAAGCCCTCAATGCCCGCAGCTTCCAGGTGAGAAATTCCCACTTTTTATCTCAAAAAAAATCCTGGTTTTCCAGCCCTCTTCCCCCTGATTTATTCTGTGTTTTTCCCTGGTTTATTCCCGCTGTATTTCAGTTTTTTCCTTGTTTATTCCTTCCACATTTCAGGATTTTTCCCATGGGATCAGGCCTCAGGATCCTTCTGGGACTTCCAGAGCTGAAAATCCCAAGTTTTTTTGGAATTCCCAAACCTGAACACCCCATTTATCCCAAGGAACAAACAGCTTCCAAAAAAACCCTGTAACCTGGGATTTTGGACTGATTTTTCCCAATTTTTTCCCCACAGGATCGAAAGGTGAACCCTGGGATTTCAGGACTGATTTTTTCCCAAACTTTCCCCCCAGGATCTGAAGAAACAACAAAGCGAACCCTGTGATTTTGGGGCCATTTTTCCCGATTTCTTTCCTGCAGGATCTAAAGGTGAATCCTGGGATTTTG